GTTCATTTGTATTTCTAATTATATGTAACTTTATAACATCAACTATATTTTTTTAAATTTTTTTTGTTCGTTAAAAATTAATGCTTACTGCTTTATTTTTAAAATTAATGTAATATTTTTTTTAATAATTTAATTTGATTTTCATTAGCATTTATTAACTCTAAATTTCTAATTTTAAAATAGTACTGATAAAAACACAAAGAAATTAGATATTGAAAAAGCCTCATAACGAGTGAAGTAATACAGCATGAAACTCCAAAATCATGGTTGAGATTCTCTGAAAAAACATGTTACAAATCTATTTTTATTTTAAACCAAGTATTATCTCCTCGTCAAATAGCCAATAAGTTAATTATTGAATATTCACATATTTGAAAACCTTATACTGAAACAGATGACATTATGGATCTATAATAAACGTTTTTAATTAATAAAATTAATTTGCTTGATGAAACACGACAGCAAGTGGTGAAATGTTATATTCTCAGACAAAATAAATGTTGAGGTAGATATGCAAAAATATGTTATTGCTTCGTGTTCTGCTATGGCGATCACCTCAAGAGTAATTTGATTTGAATTGTACATGAAAACCAACCAAGCAAGGTAATGGCAGTGTAGACTTTTGGGCCTACATGAATTATGCAGGACTTAAATACTATTAATTATTTGAAGGTTGACTTAATGCTGATAGGAACATTGAAATTTTAGATAATTGCCTTCTTCAATCCTTATTTAAGAAAGGTGGATCTGCAAAATATTGAAATGCTTTTTTTATGGTTTTTCTTTGGTAAATTATTGTTTTAATATATTATTTGAAATATATACTTAACTTTAGTCCGATTGTTTTTTTAAATTAAGATAAAATGTTTAATTATTATTTTTTTTTTGGTATCTAAATCAATATGTTTAGATCTTTTTTTGAATTTTCATAATGCATATAGATTTTACTTGTATTAAAAAAATAAAAATAAAAGCATTTTAGTTTTCGATTTAGTTGATTTTGAATTTAATGTTTTATAAAAAAATCGTGACAAAAACTATGTGTGCTCTAATTTAAGGCTTAAAAAATCTTACCTACCTCAAAAATCTAATTTAATATCATGTCGTGGATATATATATATATATATATATATATATATATATATATATATATATATATATATATATATATATATATATTAGGCCCCTGCTAAGCCTAAATATTTTGAATCAAATCAAATAAGTGATTCAAGACTTGACTCAAAAAATCTCTATTTATTTGAATCAAATCAACCTGCTTTTGTTAATAGTTTATAATGAAATTAGCTCAAGGTCATATCATTATAAATTTTCACAATCTTGAGTAATAACATTATTAGAATGTTATTACTCTAATAACATGAAGTTGTCTTGGAAATTTCAAGATACATTAAAAAAAAATTTTTTTTAACTAAACTTAATTATGGTCATGCTTTGGTCAATTCTAAATGTTTTGCAAAAAATTTCATGAATTGTTAACAAAATTTCCCCTACAAGCTAACTGCCTCTGCCAAAACATGATGACAATGACTTGATAAAATGCTTAGTTTCTCTATCTAATACTAAATAAACCTTCAGTTTTCAATTTAATTTATTTGTATTATTGTGCCTAAAAGTTATGACCATATAAAATTAACAGCCCCCTCGATTTGATCAAACTTTGCTCATTTAAATACTAAAAAAATATTATAAGGTACTTTATTAATTATTTTAGCAATAAATAGTTAAAAATGGAAAAAACTTTTAAAATTCGAATGTATTAAAATATGAAATGATTTTAACAAAAACAAAAAGTAAATATATTAAAAATTGTATGTTAGGCCGACTTCCATGGGTCTAACATACATACGTATTGAAATTCATAAATATATATATATATTTATATATTTATATATATATATATATATATATATATATATATATATATATATATATATATATATATATATATATGTATATATGTATGTATATATATATATATATATATAGTATATATATATATATATATATATATATATATATATATATATATATATATATACATATATATATATATATATATATATATATATATATATATATATATATATATATATATATATATATATATATATTCTTTAGTTATGACTAGGAGTGTTTAAACTATTTATAGAATGTAGAAATTGTTTTGTTTTTTATTTGTTTATCTCTCCATTGACTTTTTGACCACAACTGCAAATACCTATATTGCATCCATGCATATATTACATACATATTTAAATAAGTATGTAATATATGCTAAAATAATTGATAAAATATACATACATCTATTATGTATGTGTGTATTAATAAAAACAATCCTGCCTGCCTGTCAAAGACACACATATATCTTTAAAAGTCATTTCTTGTTATACGATATATATATATATATATATATATATATATATATATATATATATATATATATATATATATATATATATATACACATATATCCTTAAAAGTAATTTCTTGTTATACATATATATATATATATATATATATATATATATATATATATATATATATATATATATATATATATATATATATATATATAAAGTTAAAATATACTATTGTTAATCTAAATATACATCTAAATATATTTTAAAATGGTTTTACGCTATCTTTTTATTATAATCAACTTTTACATAAATATATATATATATATATATATATATATATATATATAAATATATATATACATAAATATATATATATATATATATATATATATATATATATATATATATATATATATATATATATATATATATATATATATATATATATATATATATATATATATATATATATATATATATATATATATATATATATACTCACATCAATGTAATTATGTATTGTGATTATAGGGTAGCCTAGCAACAGCTTACTAAAAGTTAATGTTAAAAAAATATCTTTTAATCTTGAAAAAAAATTGAATACTAATATCAGTAAACATTCTAAGAAAGATCAACAGTTTATCTATCTGAAAAAGTTAAAATTTAAAAATTTCTACGCTCAAAATTTTTTTAAAAACAATTTGAAAACGATAAACAAAACACACTAAAAAAGCTATTGCTGTAATTACATTTTATTCGTTTTTAGAGGTTTTATATTTAATTTGAAACATTTTATCGTGTACTAGAAGTTACTTTTATTATAATTTTCTTTTAATAAACGGCTAAATGCATATTTAATTGCTAAAAATTAGAAAAATAGCTCGTTGTCAATGAGAATTTTTTTTATATTCGTTATCCGAAGCCATTTTTAAAACTTTAAAAAAATGCAAACTTTACTGCGCTTGCGTATAATAACTTTCCACTTATTTAGTAAGTCTGAACGACCGTGAGAAAAAAGAAATGAATTTAAAACACTCTAAAATTTTTTTACTGAGTGCTTCAATCAGAGATAAAAGTTATAAGTTAATATCTGATTGATTAATTTCGATTACCTAGAATATTTAACCAATCAAATTTTAGTATAGAATAAGAAGTAATTTTTTTTTTTTTTTTTTTTTTTTTTGAAAATTACATTGATAGTAAAATACTTACGTCTTACGTTTTACTACACTTTAAAATTTAAAAAGTTAATTTTTTAAACGGAGTGTCTATTCGCACGTTTTTCACGTGCGAATAGACTATATTTTATTATAGTCTATTCACTTGTTTAATTAAAAAAATTCAATTTAAAGGGAATTAAAAAAATTAGATTTATTATTGGTTTTTAACTCTAAAATTAAACTAGCACTGTGGAGTACTAACGCAGTACTTACGTTGACTGTAGTGTGTATACATATTGACTGCTTATCTAGGGAAAGGCACAGTGTAGTATAAATACACTGACGAGGGTTTTGGCTTAGGCAGGCAATCTTTTTATTTAAAAATACCCAGCCGGCTCAACTCAGAAAATAGTTACGCTTGGTTTCTGTTGCGTTTTTAAAACTTTCTAAAATAAAAAGAATAACACGTATCCTAAATGGTTTTTATTCCGTGAAATTAACAATTACTATTTACCATAAATACCAGTTAAAGTATTAATGGTTTCACCGTTATGGAAACGTAGTATTATATTTTAATAACTTTTCGTAAGGAATGTGAAACCACTGATAAAAATATGCGACATTTAAATTCGACTTTAAAACCTCAAAAATCACGTGTTAAACTCTAGTAAAACTGCCCGTAATATACACGTGCTTTTGGTTTACGCCTGGATCGTGAAAAACACGTGCCTATATAGGTTTTATTTCTGAAAAAGAAACTAGATGTGCCGATAAGGTAGAAGAATTTCTTAATGTTTATTTTATCTATTGGCACGTTTTTGCTTGTTTTTTGAATAAAAATTTAATTAAGTTTTAGTAATTTTATTTATTTTTATTACAATTGATTAAAAAAATTAAATTAGTTTCAAAATATATGACTTAAGTTATAAACATTTTTTGTTTTTGAGAGAATTAAATTTAACTTGATTTTTTTTTTTAAACGTGCGAAAAGACTATAATAAGATATAGTCTTATAATAAGATATAGTATATTCACACATGCGTGCATCTAGACCCTTTTTTTAATTATAAAAAATTAATAGAATCTAATGAAAATTGTACTAAGTTTTAAATGTTTTAACAAAACTTTCTGTTCAAATAAGCCCCTCCCTTGACTAAAGTTCTTTTTTCAAAACAAAATCACACAGCATTTAAATCTGTGATTTAATCACAAAAAATTTTAGAAAATTAAATTCTTTTTTAATCTGCTTTTAGTGTGATATGTGTAATCCTTGTTCTGTAAATTACTCCAAATGTTCGACTCTAGGATTATTATAATAAAAAAAATTTAAACTATTAGAACTAATTATTATAAAAAACGTAATGTCTTAACGCCTGCGCCTTATTTTAAACAAAAGTGTAACCAGCTTACACAACTGTGTCATTAAAAAAATATATAAATTTTTAACATTTAAACTGTTCTGCCCTTACAATTATTAATCTATTAAAGAATTCGACAAATCTGACCCAACATTGAATATCACTGAAATGATCCTTTTTTATTTATTAGCTTCATCATTAATGATGACTGCAGAAACAACCGATGCAGATAAAAAATGTTTGGTTACCGAATTCCTTAATGGCTGTAGCACACCTTTTCACTTACCGTTACCGTATAAAGCCATGTTTACACCAGCATGCATGACGCATGACGTGTGCTACAGATGCGTAAGTAATTACGTTGAAAAAAGGCTGACTAGAATTTTCCTCTATACTTTTAATTTTTTTCATAAAACTTACTTATCTGTCACTCTTATATAGAACTGATTAATTGTAGGGTATCAAACATGGCTGGAGTCAGATTGAATGCGATCTACGTTTTAAAACCGGAATGATAAATCTATGCAAAAAGAATGTAAAAAATGCAACTCGTAAAAGGAGAAATCTAGTAGGCTTGTGGGAAAGTATGAAAGATAAATATGAAAAAGTTAAAAATGGGTGGGGACAAACAACAGCTAATCAAACAGTTGCAGAAGAAGCTAAGAGATTATGGAGCGCAACCCAAGAGATTTTTAAAATGGTTGTTAAGTGGTTTTCTCTTAGTGACGAGATGGAAAAATGTGTTTACGCTGCCGATATTTATTATTATGGAGTGGCTTCTTATGGAATTTACGCTTATCGTACAAACATAAAAAGTGACTGTAATGAAGATTGCGTAAAAGTACTAGGATCTAATTTACACGATTAATAGCATAACTTTTTTTTTGTATATAATAACAACTAAAGTCGAAATTTAATTTAAGAATATAAAATAAACTTTGTAATGTCGCTGTTTTTGAGTTTTATATGATTTTAAAGATTTATTCTTACTAATAAACCCGAAGGAAACAACAAATAGCCGGTGAGGATATAATTAACGTTTTTGACAAAAAAAGTTAATACTTAAATTCACCGGTATTCATGGTTTTCAATAATGTCACAAAGCCTTAAGTCGTTGAAAAGCCTAAAAATCAAACTTTTAAAAATTAGATTTAAATTTATTTATTTTATTTTGTTTTGGTTATTTAGGTGCTCCCAGAAGTCCTTACGGTCTTATCGCGGAGCACCGCGGGAGAGCATTTAACTAGAGGTTCACGCCTCCTTTCTAACCAATGTCGCTTATTGGGCTAGAGTCGGCGTCGAACCTCGGACCTCAGAGTTCTGAGCCAGAACTCTAACCACTGCGACACGGCTGCTTTTATCATCGTATAAAAAGATTATCATCGTATTATCATTGCATAAAAAGCAAACAAAATTACATATTTGAAAAACTACATTCTTGAAAAAAAAGCTCTAAAAAATGGGAATAATAAGATAATAACAAAATAAAAAAGTACAGGCAGACAGACTTAAACACAAATAAAAATAAAAATAAAAATACAATACTTAAATGAAATTAAAGCTAAAAGTCATATTGCGCTAATTGGATCATCTAAAAGAAGATTTTTTTTTTTTTGGTTTTACCAAAAAATGTTAAACCATCTTTAGCTTCCTTTATTTGTGATAATACACAAGTCTGGTTATTTAAAAAAAAAAAAAGAGTTCTCTATTTTATTATAAACTTTTTATGAACTTATAATAGCGTAAGTTGGATTATATACTTATATATTGGATTGTATATTATTTGTACTTATATATTAGGGGAGAGTTGCCATATTTGGAACAACGCCTTAACTGGAACACTTGCATTTGTTTTTGAAAAAAATGAATTATGGCTTTATTTTGCATTTTTTAGCATAACGCCTCATTTTCTACGTTTTGACACATTTCGAAAGTTATTCGTGAAAAAAACTTTAAATCAATTGTTTACATCTATTAAAAATGGATGTAAACCATTGATTTAAAGTTTTTTTGCGTCATTTTTTTTTTGGCGATCTAATTTTGTGTTTACACTATATTGATTGCGTTCGGTGAAATATACTGCTATAGGTAATACAGTTTTTTGTGTTTAATTCAATGGGATTTAAAATGCAAAATAACAATATAAACTTATCTTATAAGTTGCTGCAAGCATGATATTGCAGTGATATAACAAAATAGTCCAAAGTTTCCTTGATTGGAACTATAACTTTTTCGTCACTTAATCAGTAATAAAATCAAAGGGTTGTGGAAATAGTTCAAGCGCAATTTATAAATACTTAATAACAATTATAAACCTTAAAAATAATACTTTATTTAGTGATTTTTAATTAATAAATTTAGAGAACTTCATGACAGTTAAAGCTTTAATACAATTTTTTGTTTATAGACTTTCACTTTGTTAGAGTAATTTTAATCCTATTATAAATTTTAAATGAACTGTGTAAATTTTCACTCTAAAGATAAAAATCATTTTAAATAAATTTTTGTTGATTTTAGTGGGTAATTTTTGTTGATTTTAGTAGGTTTACAACCTACTAAAATCAACAAAAATTTATTTAAACTTTGATTTCTTAATCAAAACAGGTTGTTTTTTTTTTTAAAAAAAACAACCTGTTCTGATTAAGAAATCAAAGTATTCCAATTTTGGGAACCAGTTGCCTTGATTGGAACAAAATGGTAGCTTTGCAAAAACAAATTTATTTCCAATAACAGTGCAAAGTCAAATTATGGTTAAAAGTATAGTAGGGTTGTTTGTTTGTATTATTTAAATCATAAATGCTTTCATAGTTAAGACATCTTTGGTTAAGAAATATTTATTCCTAAAATGTTCCAATTAAGGCAACTCTTCCTATGTATTATATATTGTATAATATTTATACTTATACATTATATTATATATACTTATATATTGCTGCTATAATTTCACGATAAAAATGTATTTTTATATGGTTTACCTAAAAAGAAGAAAAGAAAAGTTAAATTAAAAAAAAAGAATTTAATCGAATATATTTCAAGTAAATTGACTTTCCATAAATATTCTATTATTTACATAATCTATGTTTCCCTGACTTGAAATATAAATTATGGAAATACATTTATATTTTTCCATAATCTATATTTTTATGACTTAAATATTTATGCTGCTAAATGTTGGCCCAATCGAATATATTTTTCGATATAAAAACTTGCATCGGGCTAATGTAAGCTTGCGATCTGAGTTAAGACATGGGATAGTGCACAAACATTAAACTTAACAAATTATTCAATTTGTAAAAACATATTTGTATAACAAATATGGGGCATTTTATTTTGTTTGCTTGAGCCATTTTAAAAGCTGGAGCTCTTACTTGAACTTTTGTAAGGCCATATAACATATCGGAACAGGTCGTTAGAAAAGAAAAAATCTAAGAATGTTGATAATTTGATTGAAAACTAGCATCTGTGTATTGACACTTTTTTTATATATCTATGAAGTGCAGAGTTAAAAATGCCAGCTGAGTTTGCTGCTTCTTTTATTCCATTTTTCACTTCGGCTACGGCAACTTCTAAAATGTTTTCTGAAGCATGTAGAGTTTAACTTTTTCTTTTATAAATTCTAGGAATGACATGAAATTTAAAAGAAATTACGTTTGATAAAAATCTATTTATTTGTAATGGTATTAAGATTAAAGTTATTACTATATCTTATTTTAGACTATTAATAAAATAATTAATGACTTTATTTAAAATTAAAAAAATTCGTATGCATGCCTTTTGCATTCCAAATGCTTTTTAAACTATTGATGTAAAAAGAATTCTCAATTTGCTCTAAACAACAATTATGAATAAAATCAAATTTATCTTTAAAAAAGGTTTCCAAATTTTGTTTCAAACCCACTGTATAAGAAGGTTAGCGCCCGTCAAAAATAGGTAGCGACATTTTTTAAAATCGCAGACCTAGAATGGTTTTTTCATTGTTATGCTTACCCTAGGGAAACAAAGAAATTCGCTACCTACTTTTGGTGGGTGTTAAAGATCTCTAACCGTTTAAGATCTATAACTAAAATTAAAAACCGCTTAAACCCTACCAAACATATCAACATTTTTATTTTGAAAATCGTAGCCCAAATGTTCTAGAACTTTCCGCAATAAATTAACCCAAAACTGTTTAGTGACTTTTTTCTCTGTCCCGCTTCACCTCTACGTAAGGCAAACAAAATAAAACTAAAATTACACACAACTAAAGCTAAAATATAAACTTAAGCTCTAAATGATAGATGATACGTGCATTTCCCTATAAAATTGACAAAAGGTGCAACAAGAGTTGAAAATAAATACATACATGAGTTACTAGGGTGTTAGCAAAAATACTTTTTAGAGATTTAGAGACTTTCAAAACAAGCGCTTTTTACTTCGCGCAGAAACGCGAAATGATGTCTAATAAAAAGAGCACAAGAAATCTATACGTTTTCATTAGATAACATTAATTAGTTGCCGCTCCTAAACAGAGTTATAGGGGTGTCCCACTTATTCCGCGTCCGACTTTCCCACACTACTTTATCAATGATACATTCATCTCTCCTAATCTATTAATTATAAAAAACTTTGCGAAACGATAATTCTAAAAAATTTTTAAATTTATTTTAATTGATTTTATTAATTAACTTTTATAATAACTAATGAAATACTTTTCTTTTTTAATATATTAATAATAAATTTTTTATGTTTATGTTTATATTTCTAAATCTTTAGATATTTAAATTTGTACAATAGTTATTCCAAATATTTTCTTTATTGTAAAATTATTTATTACATCGGTACTTTACATTTATTATATCATTACTTTATTTTATTAGTTTATATTTTTATAGGACTTTATTTTACTAAGGACAAAGGGTGACTGACATAAGAAGGTAAAAAGATTTCTCTCCCTGGACCGATGAAAAAAGTTAAAAATAAGTTCCAACTCTAGGAAACAAAAACTATTAACGAGTGAGATAAATGTTTTATTGTTAGTTAACTGTTATATTTTCTATTCAATTAGTTTTAAATTAAAAACATTTTCCTAAAAGCAATTTCGAATTTTCCAATCGAATGCGCAAGAAAATCGCTGATCTCTACAATAACTTATTATGTTATTAAAAAGACCAGTTGTGTAAATTAAACATAATAATTAACTATATTGCGTAACTAAGTAATAATAGTTATTTATTTTAAAAAATAATAAGTTTCTTATTTAAAAAAAAAAAAAACTGTAGTAAGTATATTATTATAAGCGTTTAACTCGCATTTCTTTGCCGTTCAGATGCGAATAGTTTTAAATATAGCATCAAAAACAACAATAGCGCTATTCCATATGGAATAGTGACTTTTCTATATTAAGCATTTAAATTTAATGAAATACTAAAAACGAATATTTGTTGTGATTGTTGTAAAATTACTGTCATATGACAGTAATTATACTTTCCGCTTACGAAAACTAATATTTGTGATTATTGCGAAAAATGTGAATATTACGAAAACTAATTACTAATTCAAGTCAAATATAATTTAGTATACAGTTTAAGCAGCATAATTTATTATACAGCATTTTTTTTAAAGTTATGTTTGAATAGGTGGATTCGAAAAATACGAGAAAGTAAGAGAAAAATTTCTTTTGTAATACGAACTAAGCCACTATTTTTTGAAATGTAAAGCTGATGTAACTATAATGGTATAGCTTTTTTTAATGAGTTTTATAGTGCACGTAAACAATAACTTTAGATCTCGAATCCTTTGCTCAATTTTAACAGTTATCAATAATACTTTAAATATATAAATGAGTTAAATTTGCTTTCACTTTTTTGTGATTTTTCAAACTTTATTAATGAAGGTTTACAAATGAACAAATTTTACTTTACAAATTAAATGTTGATACAAGTTTTTCTATTAAAAAAAATAA